GGCTGCGGGCCGCCGCTCGCCTGACCGAGCCGCTGCCGGGTGCACCGGGCATCGGGCTTTCCCTCCAAGCTCCCACTGTCTGTCTGAGAAAAGGTCAAGAACTCGAGCGGCCCCGCGGTTTGCTCTGGACGGCAGAGCACAGCCTCCGGGCCGTCTGTTCGGAAAGCCGCGAGGTCGGCAGACCGACCGGTTCTGTGCACTTTTGGTAGGTTTTATGCTTTAGCGCGTCTGGGGGACGGGTTCGTGAGCAGTCTAAGCGCTTTATGGGTAAAAGGGAAAACCCAAACCTTTGTTTTGCTTGTAGAAATAGTGGAGCTGTTTGTCAGGAGTTGGCTCAGAGGGAACCTAGAGACACCAAAGGAACATGCACTGTAGGGCGCTCTCGGCTTCCTAGGGCGGCTCGTGCTGTGCTCGCTCTCCGGGCTCTCTGGCCTGGCGGGTGGTGGTGCTGGCGGTGGTGGTGGTGGTGGTGGTGTGGGGAGAGGGGAGTCGTGTCACGCCCTATAGATTCCTACCCGCTCCCGATTGCCCTGGGAGGAGTCACTTCCCCTCTCCCTATGCAAAGAGGTACGAGCACCTTATGACTGTGAGCCGGGAGCGGGGTCAGCACAGGAATGTGAAAGGACATTGCACAGGGAAAGTGTAATATCTGTCTAGAGGTTGACACAGCCTTTTGTAAAGAGTAGGAAGAAGTCGTGTAGAATAATAGTTACTCTTCTTATACATGAGGAGGTTCTGTGGTGTGACATCCACAATCTACATTCTTATATTTTGGCAATTTGATTTTTTAAACTCTTATATGACTTTTCAAACATGATTCCTTAGAAGAAATCCTGTTTTTCCCCTCCATTTATATTTTTTCTTTAAAAACACTTATTTCAAGAGAGCAGGAAAAGAGCTTCATGTACTATGACATCAGGAAGCTCCCTCAGCACGCACCAGGGCGTCAGCTATCACGGGGTCGGCCAAAGAAAGGGCATTGTTTTCAAATGCAGACATGGCTTTGCACCCCGTGCCCTAGCGGGTCTTTTCTCCTCCCTCTGCTTCCCTATAGGTGCCCTCGCTGTGAGCTGGTGCTGTGGCCGGTGCCGGCGCCTGAGCTGGGGTGGGGAGTCCCCGTGAGTCCAGGGCTGGCCAACATCTGATCAGGTTCCCCACACACTGAGGCGGTGGGGGTACTACCTGGCGCAGAGGTTTCCTCTGCAGCACCCCTGGCTCTTGATCCTGGGGTTAAGTCACTAATCACAAGGGCTTCATCCACCACCACCCCACACACACACACACAACTTTGGGATGCAAGGGAGAGACCGTGCTGTGGGCAGCCCTGCACCTGCTCCTGGACACACTGGGCACGCGTGGTTCTGGGCTCTGGCCTGGATGTTAGCCGAGGCACAGGCACAGCAGAAGGCGGAGCGGAGGGCCCTTCCCTAGGAGATCTTCGCCTTTCTGACACCTTCTTACGCACGCCTCCCGCCCACGGGGGCTCCTGGCTCCCACCAGGCGTGCACAGAGCCTCAGTACCGCCCTGCAATGCGGGCCCCCCTTCCCTGTACCCCGGCACCTGGTAACTAGGGGACCACAATCTTTGCCTGGCTGGCCTTGAAAAGAAGGAATTCAATTTCTTGCAGGCCACCCAGGAAGCTATGAGTTGCAATATACAACACTGATTGTAAAAGCTAAATTTTAAAAATGTAGAGCTATTTTGTTATACTTTGGAACTAAACGAAGTGCCAAATTAAGCCCGACATTCACTTCCTCCATCTCTGGGGCACCACGTTCCTCTATGTCCCCACTTGGTGGAGGGCGGAGGGAGGTGGGTGGGAAGGGGTGTCCCAGGGCCAGCCGGGGTCCGTCCATCACAGGGACAAGTGCTGCTCAGCCCCGCCCCCCCCCCCCGCTGTCCCTGGCCCCTCAAGGGTGCGGCCACCTGCAGTGAGCAGAGAGCGCCTTCCTTCTGAGCCAGGGGTCCGCCTCTGAACGCAGCCCATGACCTTCCTCCCAGACTTTGTAGGGAAACGGGCAGCAGCTTTCGCTTGAGAATGCTTAGGGAAGCATGGCAGGACTGGCACGGCTGGAGCAGAACACAGAGCAGCAGCAAAAAACTAAACTCATGTTCATTCCTCAGGGAAAGTTAAGGGCGTGTGAAATGGAACTGGAGGAGCTGAAGGCTGGGAAGACTTGTTACCGCTAGAGTCTTCTAGTCAGAAAAGTTGGGGTGTTTTAGGACATGCTATCATTTTGAGACAAATTTACATGAATTTACACTTTTGGAGGCGGGACACTGGGAAAAGAGGAAAGCGTTTCTCAGTGGCTGAGCTGCGTGGAGGGCCGGCGGGTGGGCCGCAGCGTCCCTGGTGGTGTCCCCGGCCTGGATGGCTTTCTCCCAGGGTCACCGCGAGACCAGCTTTGGCGTCCCTCCGCCTCCACCCGGAAGGCTGGCTCTGGGCTGTGAGCCGAAGCTGCGGGAAAGCTGGGCGTCTTGCTGCGCTGGAGGGCGAGGAGCAATCTTCCCGGACTTTTCTGGACAAGGTGCTGCTTTTTCTCATGATCCTGTAGCATTTCTCTCCACCACGTCACCTGCCGATCTGAGGGGAGAGGTGGGAGGAAGTTCCTAGCACGCAAATGGTGCAAACACAGAGGCTTCTCTGGTGGGAATGAGTGTGGGGACCATTTTGGAAAATGCACTGGGCACACAGGGCAACTGAAAATTTTGTTTCTCTAAGAAAACTACCCTCCCGGCCCCACAGGTCTCCCTGCTCCTCCCACTCCTCAGGCCTGTGGGGTCCTCCCTGTGGAAATTGTTTCCTTGTGTCTGTTTCCATTGTGACTAGTCAAACCGCAAGCCAGGAAAGCAATGAGGCTAGCACGCCGGCTGCCAACTGTACCACCAATCCAGCAAAGAAAATATACGACGTGTTTCATTGTGACTGACTTTGCAAAAAGCCCATATTCAGTGGCCTAGAGCAGCGATTTTCAACCTTCTTCACCTCACAGCACAGAAACTAATTATGAAAATTCTGCAGTACACCAAATATATGTTTTGTTGATTTGACCAAAAAAATAAGTATAATTTTAATTCATTGACACCAGATGGCTATTGTTGTGCTGGCTGCTGTCATTTTTTATCTGACAATCTAAGGGAGAAGAGGCCAGTGCCCTGACTAAACAGTCAGGTATTGCATGTTTTAACAATTCTTGCAGCTCACTAGTTGGAAATCGCTGGTCTGGATGCTTTAGAAGTTGTATCTATCACAGGACCAGCAATCAAAGTGGGTCCTGATTTGTAAATAGTTCCTTTTTTTTTTTAAGACAATCTCGTATTTTATAACTTCTCTTGTGGGTCTGAGAATCACAATGCCAGTGTGTTGTGTCAGAATGTAATCGGAATTACAATGGCGGTTATGGTTAATTTTCCAAATAAGACAAGAACTCTGTGCAGGCTTCTACACTCCTGAGAGACATACCACTTTTGTAGCAAGCACTCATGCTTAACTTCTCAAGTTAACAGAACCGGAGATATTTTCCAAGATGCAGTGTTTTGTAATCACAAAGAACATGAACATTTTGTGGGAAATGACCCCGGTTTTATACATTGTAGCTTCTTTTTTAAAATACAATATTTTACTGGACAGGAAGTGTTAATATTGTAAGCCGTTCCTGTCTCCAAACTAAGGGCTATGCCTCTTTGAAGCAAATGTTTTGATGCATGTTTTTTCAGCTAACCCTCTGCGACAGGGCAGAAATGTAGATCAGATGGAGAGATTAGTACCAGGGGACGAAGATGGCAACAGCGACTCCTTCGATCATTACCAGTGTGTTTTCAAAGGTTTGTGG